GATGATGTGGACAAAATACTCATTTGCCTAATAATTCTGCACTCCCTGTATAGGACCACTGTAGATGGATGGATAAAGCAATAAATGGAAATGCATTTGGCCTTTTAGCAGCTCACATATTAAATAATGTATAAATATATTTAAGCAATGATGAACTTATTTATGTATACAGGTGAATATATGTTGGGTATGGCCAATGCTTTGAAACAGACTGCTAATCAGCACAAGACCACATTATTGGTGTTATTTTTATTAGTATCAGTGGATTATTGTTTTTTTATTGTTAACGTCACAGGATTAGCCTTAGTACTTTTTTACTCTAGCATTTCATGTGAATAAACTTGTATAATTTATACACAATGTCGCTGCTGCTGTAGCCAAGATCAACTTTGAGTCCAACAAAGCAAACAAATGTAGTCAAGCGTATCAAGCAATTGAATGTCGTGTTTGACCTTATTTACAAGGCCACAGTTTTATCTTAATTACCCTGCTGGAAGAATAAGGACCTTGTTGATGAGAACGCTTTTAAAGCGGCACTCCACCAATGTTCCACATCGATTTGAGTTTGTCCATCACATGTGATGCTATTTATTCTCCAGTTTGAAAAGTTTTGGGGGGAAAAACTGACCTCATGATGGGCCGGCCCATTTGGGCATTTTATGGCAGAAAGTGTCTGCCGCAGACTAGGAAGTGGGTGTTTAAAGACAACAAAAGATATTTACCCATCATGGAGGGACAAACCAAAAGGTGCTATTAATTTGGACCACCCTATAAATGTTTACACTGGTCATAGTTTAAGCCATTCGATAAAAACGCGGCACGAATTTTGATGTTTTCTAATATGCTGCAAATGGCGACTCTTGTTTGGTACAGAAACAGGATTGACATTGCGACCCAGAAGCTGTAGCAGTTGTCTGCTTCTTCACTGTATGAATTCTAGATCATATATACCATCTCCCTCTCTCTGCCCCCACTGCTAACCTTCATAATTCACATGCAATCCGGCGCTGCAGTGTCTGTCCAAAGAGATTACAGCACCGCCTGGTAAGATGTCTGTTAACGTCTTTTTGACAAGATTAGAGGAGTCAGGGTGCGCCGCTTGCAAAATTCACATGCGGGTTTTTGCGGAAATGTGTCACAACAAAAGTAGTTTGTGTGTCTGCGTGTTTGCGTGCCACATGCAGTCGGAGCTCAGTAGGGTTGAGGTGAGTATGACGCGTGTCGGAGTTCAGGAGAGGGTGGCATTGCTGGTGGTATGGCAGCAGGTGACTTGGGAAAATGTCTGTGTGTGTGTTACTGTGTGTGTGTTTTTTGGGGGGAGGAGTGATATTTGCCAGCATTGAACCAGTCCCCCATGTAACATACCTCTGCTTCAACTCACTTCTCAGTTTGACTAATTATAGTTAATTTGATTCGACTTTCCCATTAACACATGTACATATTCTGTCCTCAAAAAATAAATTAGACTGGGATTGTTTAGTCCCGGAGAGGAAACAAGAGAGCGCTCCCCCCGTTCTTTTTTTTTTTTTTTTTTTTTTTTTCCCTTCCTTCCTCAGTAACAGCAGAGAGAGCAAATTAAAAGAGGTCAGACGAAGCAGCTATCTGTATCTATAAAATTGGAAGCGGGTGTCTGCGTGCGTGCGTGTGTGTGTCTGTGCGTGCGTGTGTGTGTAGCAGACGTCTGGCTTCACTGTCTAGGCCAGGTCTTTTTGCAGGGACCAAACAGAACAACAGGAATGAAAATTCTCTCAATTTGAAACACCTGGAGGCTCCTACATTATACTTCTTTCCTCACTCAGTCCCTCCCGACTGTTTGCTATTTCCTCACACCTTGATGGCGGGTTGTCTAAAGGCTACAGCGGGGAGTTGGTGAGGAGGTGGTCCTCTTGACTTCAGGCTGTACTGTCTTTCAGGGTCTCTTTTCCATGATCTCCATCTTGTTGCCATGGACACCATCAGTAGGCCTAGGCTTTTTTTCTTTTTCTTTTTTTTTTTCTTTTTTTTTCTCTTGCTCTTCTTTTTTAGATTCTTACGTCCAGGCTGTTAAACGTGGAAAGTTTTGGCTTTGGGGCCTGCATCCTGCTTAGTTACCGTTACCATAACCATCTTTATATTGTTCTTCATTCCAATTTTTCACTCTAAACTCAAGCAGGACTTTTGTGCTTGTGGCTGCATTTCTAACACCCATACATCAGACCGCTTTTAAAATTTTGGCCAGGTACACTTGTTTCACCGTCCCATGATAGGGAAACAGGCTAGTGGGCCAGATGCATCTCTATTTATTATATTCCTGTGGGTTTTATTCTTCTGAGCGCATGCTGCATTTCCCGAAACTATTTTTTTTTTTTTTTTTTTTTTTTTATCGAGCCATTCACCCTGTTGTCCTAGTTGTTTCCAGCAGACAAGCTGAACCTAGCTGCCAAGGTTTTGGTAGGCCAGAGAGGGCAATACTGACACTGGCACACCAACAAAGCCTTTACTTGGGAGTGATCTCACCCCTTTGTAAGCCTGTCTG